TCCCTTGGCAAGTGACCTTCTCTCCGGTGCAGAGCAGACAGCGCGTCCCATCCCGAACCTGACCTCCTACCTGAAGGAGTCCGAGGCAAGCCACCAAAAGCCGATCGCAGCGGCATGCGACATGAGTGATTTGTCAGGTTGTGTTAGCCAGAGGCCACTCCTGCCACCAGAGTAGGGACAGCACCTTCCCGATCCGAGTCTTGACGGAAAAGGGAAGGAAGGCGAGACCAGTGTTTCAAGACGAGGGTGTAACACAATAAGTAGTGATTGTGCATCTTTGGGGTTTTCCACAACTGAAAACAGTTGTGCGTCACATGTTAATGAGTGCGTGTCGCATGTGAGTGTAGGATCCACGAACCCAAACATTCAGCACCTAAGTAGAGTGCAGCAGCAGCTACATGTACAGCAAGCCGCAGCCGCACGCACCGAGCATCAAGAGGTTTCCTTGCGCACCACCTCCGAAGTTCATCCTCTTCAGCGAGATGGCAGACCTGACCCGCGAGGAGCTCCGCAAAATGCTGAGCGATCTCGGCGAGCAGCCGATCCCCAGTTGGACAAAAATAGAGCTGCGGCACAGGATTGCCGAGAAAACTGGAGAGGACATGTCCCACAACCTGAAGTCCAAGAACAAGGCCCTCTCCCCCAGTCAGGTCCTCATCAAGGAACTGAACAAGGCATCGAACAAGAAGAAGGCGGATCTGGTAGAGTTCTGCACTATGAAGTTGGGCATGAGTGGACTGAGCAATCGGACCATCGCTCAGCTCCAGATGGATGCGATGAAGCGCATCATGGAGACCACGCCAGCGCATCCCTACGATCAAGTGGGATTCGGGAAGTACAGCGAACGCTACTACCACGAAATCCTGACCACCTTCCCGGACTACGGCAAGTGGATCAAGACAACCTATGCCGAGAACGGAAGTTCGTGCGAGGCTCGTCTCCAGAGGCTCGCGATCTGGCTGGAGGAGGCCGACAAGGAGGAGTTCCAGACAGCGCGTCCGACGATGCCGAGTGCCAAGGGATATGCCAAGAAGATCCCCGAGGTGAATCCTCCAGGAAGCAGCTCATCCTCGAGTATCGATCCGGGGCAGGCACTCCTCACGGAGATGATGGGAGCCATTCGAGACCTTCGTCAGGAGGTGGCGGCTCTCAAGCAAGAGCCTGTCCGCAAGAAGCCGATGAAGTCCGAGGAGAGCGAGATCGAGACAGACGGCTCGTTCACCAAGGTGGGTGCGAAGAAGCCATGAGCTCGGAGGGCGAGATAGACATCCCGCTCCAGGATATGAGCCGAGGGCATGTAGTAGACTCGGAGAATGAGTCAGGCATGAGTGCATCGCAACGGCTAAGTAGGCATTTGTCCTTGGGAAGGGCACGTAGGCTAGAGGAGCAAGCGTGGTCTATAGTCCCCCAAGTGTTTCAAGGACTGGTGGCAGAAGGCCGGACCATTCTCATGGAAGTGTGCTGTAGCCCCAATAGTCTGCTAACCTCCACGGTCCGGGACATGACAGGTAGAGAGAGCGCAGCTAGTCGTTGTAGCCATTGGAACTGCGGCGACTTAAGCACAAATAGTGGGCTCAAGCTAGTACTTCAACGCCTGGAAGTGGAGAATCCTGCTCACGTATGGCTTTCACCGCCTTGCGGCCCATATTCACCTCTACAAAATGTTAATAGTAGGACCCCTGAACAGAAGTCTGCCTTAGAGGATAAGAGGGCCGAAGCGATGAAAATCTATGTGAGCTGTTGTGTCATCATGCATGTGTGTGTGCAGAAGGGAATACATGTAACCTTAGAGTTGTCTGAGCGTTGCCAGGCCTGGAGAATCCCGCTGCTACATAACCTGCAGACCAAATATTCCTTGTACTCGGCAGTTGCCAAGGGGTGTCAAGTAGGATTACGGAGTAGCAAGGATAAGAGACTCCTCCAAAAGGGTTGGAGAATTGTCACCTCGAGCAAACGCCTTGCCGATATGCTTGACTTGCCCTGTCGATGTACCAAGAACTATCAGCATGGGCGCTGTGAGGGTGGAGCAGCTAAGGAGAGTGAGTTTTACACTCCCATGTTCACCAAGAAAGCAGGGCAAGCCATTTTACAAGAGCTTGATCATGCAGCGTTGATGTCCGAAGCGCAGGGACGGAGTGCCCTGCCCAGTCAATTTGGAGAGGGAACCCGGTGCATGTGCCAAGAGGTTTCGCTTCCCAAGAAGAAACAGCTGTGTGGTCAGTGTTTGATGCAGAATTCACAAGAAGTAATAGGGTTGAAACAGGAAAATGTAGCAGGCCAGGATTCAGGTATGGAGGCCAGGACGTTGGAAGGCATTGGGTTAGGTGAAGGAGGTCTTCTTGCGTGTGTGCATGAGGGTTTCTGTGACGCAAGGGTTGAACTGAAAGGTCAAGGTTCAGGTGAACAGGCCAGGGCGTTGGAAGGCATGGGTCTAGGTGCAGAGGCAGTGACTGAGTGCGCAAGTAGTAATCTAAGTGACGCTCACGTTGAAGAACTTGCGCAAACCATGATCCAACAAAAACAGTTTGACCATTCCGAGTGTGAACAGCTGATAGAACTCCTCCCTCTAAAACCTCAAAGTAAACACCGAGGCCTCCTAGGGAACCAGTCCGCAGTGTATGCTACTTTTGGAGCGTATTCGTATGGTAATCACTATGGAGTGACGAAGTTGACTCGCAGATTCCCTGTCTTCACAAAGTATCTGATCAAGTACTTTGCTCATCATGATATTCAGGGAAGCTGTAGTAGCTCCGTGGTGGTTAACATCAATGGACATTGTCCTCGGCACAAGGATAATCACAACGCAGCTCATCATGAAAACCGCTTAGTAGGACTCGGTAAGTATAAGGGCGGGGAACTTTGGATTGAGACCCCGGGAAATCAGGGAATCAGGGGTGTCACCCGTGAGGTGGCACCCGGAAGCACACCTATCTGTGGACGTGTTCAAGCTACTCGTCATCAGCTAGTGAAGTTCTTACCTAAGTTGTGGCATGGGACCGAACCGTGGGAAGGGACCAGGATCACTGTCACTAGCTACGTCACCAGAGGACACAATCATCTCCTTCCTTCGGATCGTGATTTCCTCAGTTCCTTGGGTTTTGACCTGCCTCCCAAGAGCCCCCTAAAAGAAGAGGCCCACGCAGCGGGACCTCTAGGACCTCGTAGACATGAAGATCCCAGAGCATTCAAAGAGAGAATCCGAAAACAGTTATATCTCCTTCATGCTGCAACAGGCCATGGGAGTGTGAAGTCCATGCTTGACATGTTGAAGCGGAGGAACGTAGACACTCAGGTTCTTGAACTTGCAAAAGAGTTTAAGTGTTCAGTGTGTAATGAGAAGAAACAAGTACAGCCCCGTCACTTGTCCTCATTGGAAGTACTTCCCCCAAAATGGCATACCGTTTCGGCAGATGTAGGGCATTGGCGGCATCCGGGTACAGGGGAACATGTACAGTTTATGCTGGTCATAGACGAGGGTTCTCGCTTCAGGGTTGCCCGTATCCTATCTAGGGGTTCGAAACAGCAGCCAAATGCCGCCACTTGTATAGGATATTTGCGGGAGGGTTGGGCACAGTACTTTGGGCTGCCCCGTACCTTAAGATTGGACCCAGCGGGAGCCTTTAGAGGACAAGCAGTAGCAGACTTCTGCGACAAAGAGGGTATCTATCTTGACTTAGCACCGGCAGACGCGCATTGGCAAATCGGGGTCTGTGAACAAGCTGTCAAAGGAACCAAGTCAGTTATGGATAAGTTATGTTCCATAGATCCTTCATTGAGCGCAGAGACTGTCCTTGCAACTACTATTGGAGTCTTCAACCATCGAGATACCATTCGTGGTTTTTCCCCAGTTCAACATGCATTTGGTCGCAGTCCAGATAGCACGGGAAGACTACTTGAATCCGCAGCTCATGTCCCAGATGACGCTTTAATCGAATCCGCAGATCAGGAATTTGCGGAAAGTGCGAGGTTGAGAGCAGAAGCGGAAAAGGCCCATGCAGAATGGAATGCGGCGCAGCGCATCAGCAGAGCGGTGAATTCGAGATCAAGACCACGACATCCATATCAGCCAGGCGATCTTGTCTTTTACTGGAGATCCCAAGTATCAGGACAGGGACGCACTCATCCTGGATCCAAGCGAGGCCACTTTCTTGGCCCGGCCCGAGTGTTAGCGGTGGAGACCAAGAGGGAGTCCGATGGAACGTCCCGCGAAGGAGGTTCAGTATGGTGCATTAGAGGCCGTCAGTTGGTCAAATGCGCGCGGGAGCAGTTGCGCCCCGCGTCTGAACGCGAAGAACTTTTAGAAGCACTTGCTCATGATCATGGACAACCGTCTACGCCGTGGACATTCAATAAGCTGGCCGCCGAAATCGGCGGAACACAGTTTCAAGACTTGACAAATGAAATTCCGGATGAACATGAATGGCGTCGCGCTCAAGATCCAGATCAGGAGTCGCCTCCAGTAAGGTTTCGATTTCGAGGGAAACGAGCGGCTCCGGAAGCAGTCGACGACGACCTGATGGAGCAAGGCGAAGGAGCCGAACCGTCACAGAGCTCACGGCCCGGTCGACCACGAGGTGTCCCCGAGGGTATGGGTTACAGTGGTACACAGCGCGAGGCCTGGCAAACGACAGTTTCAGACTTTTGTTGGGCAGCTGAAGAGTGCAGTTTTTGGGCACAGGAACAAGCTGCAGTGACAGTGGAGATCCCATTGCCAGAAGAAGGCAAGGCCTTAGACAAAGCTTTAAACAACTTGACGGGTTTCTTCGTTGGAGCCATGAAACGACAAGCAGTGGAGGTGAACGAGAAACGACTCACGGCGCAGGAGCGACAAGAGTTCTCAGAAGCAAAAGGCATCGAGATTCGCAATTTTCTTGCAGCACAAGCTTTCGAGACGCTTCCCGCACATCTTCAACCTACAAAATCCCAGGCTATAGGAATGCGCTGGGTGTTAACTTGGAAGCTGCGTGACGATGGGAGCAAGAAAGCGAAGGCGCGCGCGGTATTGTTGGGGTATCAGGACCCCCAGTACGAGCACAGAGCAACAACGGCGCCAGTGATGACGAAGCAAACGCGACAGCTCTTGCTGCAGCTCGCATCAAACGAACAGTGGCATGTGTATAAAGGCGACGTCTCAGGGGCGTTCTTACAAGGACGTCCGTATCCGGGCGAGCTCTACTGCATACCTTGTCCAGAGATATGTCAAGCGATGAACATACCCGCCAACTCAATCACCCGCTTGAAGAAAGCCTGTTACGGCTTGGTCGAAGCTCCTCTTGAGTGGTATAGGACTATTTCGGAGTTTTTAGAATCACTAGGACTAGTCCGTCTTTGGAGCGACGCATGTTGTTGGGTTTGGAGGGATCAGAATCGAACTCAAGGAGTTGTCTCCGGACATGTTGATGATTTTTTGTTCTCAGGTAACGAGCAGAATCCCAAATGGGCCCACATCATTGAACAGATTAAACTGAAGTTTAAATGGGGTGACTGGGAGAAAGATCAGTTCACGCAGTGTGGGGTGCAGGTTCAGCGTCAAGGTTCAGGGTTTGTTTTATCCCAAAGTAGTTATGTGGCGGGGGTTCCCGAAATTCCGGTGAATAGTAACCGTAGGAAGAACCCTAACGAACCCACGACTACTTGGGAGAAGAGTAAGCTACGAGCCTTATTGGGTGCGCTAAGCTGGCACGCTCAACAGGTAGCCCCTCACATTGCTGCCGACGTAGGACTGCTGTTGTCCGAGGTAAATCACAGTACAGTCAACACGTTGCTGAGGGCTAACATCCTGTTATCTAACACCAAGGCCCGCAAGGAACATCAAATGATCATTCACTCATTTTCTCCAGGGACACCCTTGGGACTGTTTGCATGGGTAGACGCGTCTAGTCAGAACCGAATCTGTGGGGGAAGTACAGAGGGACTGTTTCTAGGCATGGCACCCATTAATTTGCTACATGGAGAAGTATGTTCCATTACTCCTATCCTTTGGCACTCCCATAAGATCGATAGGGTATGTAGAAGTCCCGGAGCAGCTGAAACCCAGGCAGCAGTGAATGGTGAAGACCATTTGTACTATGCCAGGTATCAGTGGTCGGAGCTCCAGTTCGGTCCGGCAGACACTAAGGCCCCAGACGTAGCTGTAAGACGGATTCCTGGATGCGTAATCTCGGATTCTAGGAATGTATATGACAAGCTGCAGACTGAAGTGGTGTCAATCAAAGGAGCAGAAAAACGTGCCAACATAGAGTTGTTGAGTCTCAAAGAGGCTCAGCTACGCACTGGCGTAGTAATACGCTGGGTGCATTCAGAGGCGCAGTTGGGCAATGCGCTCACCAAAGCTGGAGGTGGTCGAGAGTTGGAGCTCTACTACAAGATGGGCCACAAGTGGCGTATAGTAGAAGACCAACATATGCGTTCAAGCCGTCGACGAAAAACGGATGGCCTGACACCTTTAGAATCCACCACACCAGCGGCAGCTGCAGGAAGCCGGAAAAATCCTATCCAACACTCACAAGGAATTTGAAGGGAGAAGTTCCGGGGATGCAAGCCTCAC